AAAGAACTAGATGACAGGCATGAGAATGATCTAAGGTAGACAATAAAAAACAAAATACCTCATCACGTGCACAATTCATCTGAGATCCAAGCGCAATTTCTTAACCAAGAGTAAAATGAAAACATTATACCATATGGTTCCGCCGGATCGAACCGGAGACCTTTCGCGTGTGAAAGCGAACGTGATAACCACTACACTACGGAACCGAATGGCGGGACTGATGGGAATAGTTTCTGATGGATACTTTCTGATAGGTTTCTAGCCTACGCTTATTTTTTGAAACAAGAACTAGACGACAGGCATGAGAATGATCTAAGGTAGACAATAAAAAACAAAATACCTCATCACGTGCACAATTCATCGAGATCCAAGCCGCAATTTCTTAACCAAGGAGTAAAATGAAAACATTATACCATATGGTTCCGTCCGGGATCGAACCGGAGACCTTTCGCGTGTGAAAGCGAACGTGATAACCACTACACTACGGAACCGATGGCGGGACTGATGGAATAGTTCTGATAGATACTTTCTGATAGGTTTCTAGCTTACGCTTATTTTTTGAAACAAGAACTAGATGACAGGCATGAGAATGATCTAAGGTAGACAATAAAAAACAAAATACCTCATCACGTGCACAATTCATCGAGATCCAAGCCGCAATTTCTTAACCAAGGAGTAAAATGAAAACATTATACCATATGGTTCCGTCCGGGATCGAACCGGAGACCTTTCGCGTGTAAAGCGAACGTGATAACCACTACACTACGGAACCGATGGCGGGGACTGATGGGAATAGTTCTGATAGATACTTTCTGATAGGTTTCTAGCTTACGCTTATTTTTTGAAACAAGAACTAGATGACAGGCATGAGAATGATCTAAGGTAGACAATAAAAAACAAAATACCTCATCACGTGCACAATTCATCGAGATCCAAGCCGCAATTTCTTAACCAAGGAGTAAAATGAAAAACATTATACCATATGGTTCCGTCCGGGATCGAACCGGAGACCTTTCGCGTGTAAAGCGAACGTGATAACCACTACACTACGGAACCGATGGCGGGGACTGATGGGAATAGTTCTGATAGATACTTTCTGATAGGTTTCTAGCTTACGCTTATTTTTTGAAACAAGAACTAGATGACAGGCATGAGAATGATCTAAGGTAGACAATAAAAAACAAAATACCTCATCACGTGCACAATTCATCGAGATCCAAGCCGCAATTTCTTAACCAAGGAGTAAAATGAAAACATTATACCATATGGTTCCGTCCGGGATCGAACCGGAGACCTTTCGCGTGTAAAGCGAACGTGATAACCACTACACTACGGAACCGATGGCGGGGACTGATGGGAATAGTTCTGATAGATACTTTCTGATAGGTTTCTAGCTTACGCTTATTTTTTGAAACAAGAACTAGATGACAGGCATGAGAATGATCTAAGGTAGACAATAAAAAACAAAATACCTCATCACGTGCACAATTCATCGAGATCCAAGCCGCAATTTCTTAACCAAGGAGTAAAATGAAAACATTATACCATATGGTTCCGTCCGGGATCGAACCGGAGACCTTTCGCGTGTGAAGCGAACGTGATAACCACTACACTACGGAACCGATGGCGGGGACTGATGGGAATAGTTCTGATAGATACTTTCTGATAGGTTTCTAGCTTACGCTTATTTTTTGAAACAAGAACTAGATGACAGGCATGAGAATGATCTAAGGTAGACAATAAAAAACAAAATACCTCATCACGTGCACAATTCATCGAGATCCAAGCCGCAATTTCTTAACCAAGGAGTAAAATGAAAACATTATACCATATGGTTCCGTCCGGGATCGAACCGGAGACCTTTCGCGTGTAAAGCGAACGTGATAACCACTACACTACGGAACCGATGGCGGGACTGATGGGAATAGTTCTGATAGATACTTTCTGATAGGTTTCTAGCTTACGCTTATTTTTTGAAACAAGAACTAGATGACAGGCATGAGAATGATCTAAGGTAGACAATAAAAAACAAAATACCTCATCACGTGCACAATTCATCGAGATCCAAGCCGCAATTTCTTAACCAAGGAGTAAAATGAAAACATTATACCATATGGTTCCGTCCGGGATCGAACCGGAGACCTTTCGCGTGTGAAGCGAACGTGATAACCACTACACTACGGAACCGATGGCGGGACTGATGGGAATAGTTCTGATAGATACTTTCTGATAGGTTTCTAGCTTACGCTTATTTTTTGAAACAAGAACTAGATGACAGGCATGAGAATGATCTAAGGTAGACAATAAAAAACAAAATACCTCATCACGTGCACAATTCATCGAGATCCAAGCCGCAATTTCTTAACCAAGGAGTAAAATGAAAACATTATACCATATGGTTCCGTCCGGGATCGAACCGGAGACCTTTCGCGTGTGAAGCGAACGTGATAACCACTACACTACGGAACCGTTGGTGGGACTGATGGGAATAGTTCTGATAGATACTTTCTGATAGGTTTCTAGCTTACGCTTATTTTTTGAAACAAGAACTAGATGACAGGCATGAGAATGATCTAAGGTAGACAATAAAAAACAAAATACCTCATCACGTGCACAATTCATCGAGATCCAAGCCGCAATTTCTTAACCAAGGAGTAAAATGAAAACATTATACCATATGGTTCCGTCCGGGATCGAACCGGAGACCTTTCGCGTGTGAAGCGAACGTGATAACCACTACACTACGGAACCGATGGCGGGGACTGATGGGAATAGTTCTGATAGATACTTTCTGATAGGTTTCTAGCTTACGCTTATTTTTTGAAACAAGAACTAGATGACAGGCATGAGAATGATCTAAGGTAGACAATAAAAAACAAAATACCTCATCACGTGCACAATTCATCGAGATCCAAGCCGCAATTTCTTAACCAAGGAGTAAAATGAAAACATTATACCATATGGTTCCGTCCGGGATCGAACCGGAGACCTTTCGCGTGTAAAGCGAACGTGATAACCACTACACTACGGAACCGATGGCGGGGACTGATGGGAATAGTTCTGATAGATACTTTCTGATAGGTTTCTAGCTTACGCTTATTTTTTGAAACAAGAACTAGATGACAGGCATGAGAATGATCTAAGGTAGACAATAAAAAACAAAATACCTCATCACGTGCACAATTCATCGAGATCCAAGCCGCAATTTCTTAACCAAGGAGTAAAATGAAAACATTATACCATATGGTTCCGTCCGGGATCGAACCGGAGACCTTTCGCGTGTGAAGCGAACGTGATAACCACTACACTACGGAACCGATGGCGGGGACTGATGGGAATAGTTCTGATAGATACTTTCTGATAGGTTTCTAGCTTACGCTTATTTTTTGAAACAAGAACTAGATGACAGGCATGAGAATGATCTAAGGTAGACAATAAAAAACAAAATACCTCATCACGTGCACAATTCATCGAGATCCAAGCCGCAATTTCTTAACCAAGGAGTAAAATGAAAACATTATACCATATGGTTCCGTCCGGATCGAACCGGAGACCTTTCGCGTGTAAAGCGAACGTGATAACCACTACACTACGGAACCGATGGCGGGGACTGATGGGAATAGTTCTGATAGATACTTTCTGATAGGTTTCTAGCTTACGCTTATTTTTTGAAACAAGAACTAGATGACAGGCATGAGAATGATCTAAGGTAGACAATAAAAAACAAAATACCTCATCACGTGCACAATTCATCGAGATCCAAGCCGCAATTTCTTAACCAAGGAGTAAAATGAAAACATTATACCATATGGTTCCGTCCGGGATCGAACCGGAGACCTTTCGCGTGTGAAGCGAACGTGATAACCACTACACTACGGAACCGATGGCGGGGACTGATGGGAATAGTTCTGATAGATACTTTCTGATAGGTTTCTAGCTTACGCTTATTTTTTGAAACAAGAACTAGATGACAGGCATGAGAATGATCTAAGGTAGACAATAAAAAACAAAATACCTCATCACGTGCACAATTCATCGAGATCCAAGCCGCAATTTCTTAACCAAGGAGTAAAATGAAAACATTATACCATATGGTTCCGTCCGGGATCGAACCGGAGACCTTTCGCGTGTGAAGCGAACGTGATAACCACTACACTACGGAACCGATGGCGGGGACTGATGGGAATAGTTCTGATAGATACTTTCTGATAGGTTTCTAGCTTACGCTTATTTTTTGAAACAAGAACTAGATGACAGGCATGAGAATGATCTAAGGTAGACAATAAAAAACAAAATACCTCATCACGTGCACAATTCATCGAGATCCAAGCCGCAATTTCTTAACCAAGGAGTAAAATGAAAACATTATACCATATGGTTCCGTCCGGGATCGAACCGGAGACCTTTCGCGTGTGAAGCGAACGTGATAACCACTACACTACGGAACCGATGGCGGGGACTGATGGAATAGTTCTGATGATACTTTCTGATAGGTTTCTAGCTTACGCTTATTTTTTGAAACAAGAACTAGATGACAGGCATGAGAATGATCTAAGGTAGACAATAAAAAACAAAATACCTCATCACGTGCACAATTCATCGAGATCCAAGCCGCAATTTCTTAACCAAGGAGTAAAATGAAAACATTATACCATATGGTTCCGTCCGGGATCGAACCGGAGACCTTTCGCGTGTGAAGCGAACGTGATAACCACTACACTACGGAACCGATGGCGGGACTGATGGGAATAGTTCTGATAGATACTTTCTGATAGGTTTCTAGCTTACGCTTATTTTTTGAAACAAGAACTAGATGACAGGCATGAGAATGATCTAAGGTAGACAATAAAAAACAAAATACCTCATCACGTGCACAATTCATCGAGATCCAAGCCGCAATTTCTTAACCAAGGAGTAAAATGAAAACATTATACCATATGGTTCCGTCCGGGATCGAACCGGAGACCTTTCGCGTGTAAAGCGAACGTGATAACCACTACACTACGGAACCGATGGCGGGGACTGATGGGAATAGTTCTGATAGATACTTTCTGATAGGTTTCTAGCTTACGCTTATTTTTTGAAACAAGAACTAGATGACAGCATGAGAATGATCTAAGGTAGACAATAAAAAACAAAATACCTCATCACGTGCACAATTCATCGAGATCCAAGCCGCAATTTCTTAACCAAGGAGTAAAATGAAAACATTATACCATATGGTTCCGTCCGGGATCGAACCGGAGACCTTTCGCGTGTGAAGCGAACGTGATAACCACTACACTACGGAACCGTTGGTGGGACTGATGGGAATAGTTCTGATAGATACTTTCTGGTAGGTTTCTAGCTTACGCTTATTTTTTGAAACAAGAACTAGATGACAGGCATGAGAATGATCTAAGGTAGACAATAAAAAACAAAATACCTCATCACGTGCACAATTCATCGAGATCCAAGCCGCAATTTCTTAACCAAGGAGTAAAATGAAAACATTATACCATATGGTTCCGTCCGGGATCGAACCGGAGACCTTTCGCGTGTGAAGCGAACGTGATAACCACTACACTACGGAACCGATGGCGGGGCTGATGGGAATAGTTCTGATAGATACTTTCTGATAGGTTTCTAGCTTACGCTTATTTTTTGAAACAAGAACTAGATGACAGGCATGAGAATGATCTAAGGTAGACAATAAAAAACAAAATACCTCATCACGTGCACAATTCATCGAGATCCAAGCCGCAATTTCTTAACCAAGGAGTAAAATGAAAA